GACTGAAAAGCCTCACATAAACTAAATTTAACATTAAAATGGTTAAAATACCGACAGGTTTTAGTAAAACACAACAACAGTTAGGGGTCTTTTTTAGAAAAGTTTTCCCAAAACAGTACTTCTCAGTCGATACAGAAAATTTTATAGAAGCAAAATACTTGAAGACGATGTAACATCCATCCCCCTTAAATTTTGAGGTGATAGAAGCAGAAGATACTTGAAGACGATGTAATCAGTCCATCACCCTTAAAGTTTTGAGGTGATAGAAGCAGAAGATACTTGAAGACGATGTAATCAGTCCATCACCCTTAAACTTTAAGGGTGATGGACTGATTACATCGTCTTCAAGTATCTTCTGCTTCTATCAACTTTTCTGTACTCGACTGAAGAAGCCTACTGTGTAGGCGAAACGTTTCATAATAAAGATACCTAACTGTTGCATATGTGTCTTACCTAATAAACTAACTTCTTGACCTACTGGCAACCAGAACAGTCTGCTTGAACAACAAAAAGTATGCTAAGCCCAATAGCAATATAACAAGCAACTGCGACACAGAATTAGGAACAAGGAGATAATATAACGACACTAAGTAGGGACCATCAGCAGATCCTCCACAAAAGTTACAAAACTCCCATACTACTGAATCTAAGTTCAGCATAAGAAAATCCCAGACTGTGATAATACACAGAAACCAGTACAAATTAGGTCATAAGCTATAGTTCAGGACCTGAGTTACTCAGAGTGTCTATGAGACACACAACCTCAGTACAACGTCGAAAATCACTAAGTCTATACAAGGTTCTGTTAACAGAACTCTACAGAACTAACAAGAATAATGAGACAGACAATCTGTCCAACCACCAAGCGAGTCTAGAGCAGACTGAATACTTCAGACGAGGTGAGGACACCCCCCCTCGATCACGTGATAGCTCCGTGGACAGCAGTCGCCCAGCAAGAAGCCGGCAATATAACGAGCAAACAGCGATAATTACAGTAGTTAGACAATCAAGACTTGAACTGAGCACATAACATGTTACATCCTACCTAACAAAGGAAACTACGTCAAATAACAATATAAAGCAATACATTTACGATTTAGCTATTATCGCAAATATAAGCAATATAAAATTAAATGAAAAAGTAATAATTGTATATATACATAACAATCATTGCAACCATTCAGGGGTTGCAACACCTCTGCCCCCGCACTATCCCCTGCCCTGCTGTTTTCTGTAACCTACTGATCATCCCTCCCCCCTTCTGCAGCCCAATACCCTGGCTTCCTTCCCTACCCTGAAGCGCTGTATAGCCCTTGTGGCTTAGCGCTTTTTTTTTATTATAATAATCAGGTATACACAAATACAGTTACATAGATCATCATACATAGCAGCATATGTGTAGAGAACCTGGGATAACCCAAAATAGTCAAAGTGACTTATTTCAAAAATAACGAAAATGCAGGAAAGTAAAACCTGTGTCATCCTCACACATGGAGAATGTGCTGATTAAAGCGGGAGGTGAACAAACATGGAGGATAAATAAACAAGATGAGAAGCTGGTTACACCCAGGCATCAGACGACGCCATTAACATTGTTCTGTAAGTAGCTCACTAGTAGGCTTTTTTTTTTTTTTGTCAAAATAATATTTATGGAGTTTAGTCAGAAAAATGCACCCTAACATACGTCTTTGTCAAATAATTAGTCTTCCAGTGATTAGTCTCCACTGGTTTACCCCCCCCCCCCTAAGTTTACATATTTTAAAAAAGCAGAGTATTATTACATAGTAATGTTGATAAGTAAAACACGTGTGCAACAGTTATGAATCTTTATTGGAAACCCTGGACCCGTTATGTACCACTAACCTGTAAATACCTGTAAATACCATGATTGTGACCAAATCTACCTGGAGTTCATTACCTTCGTAACTAGTTCAGTTATCATAACTTTGGGGCCCAGTCCCTGGACCCATTGTATACCTCTGTAATCTTTTAACTACCACCCACAGGATGGGTATGGTGTGACTACCGCCCACTGGATGGGTATGGTGTGACTACCGCCCACTGGATGGGTATGGTGTGACTACCGCCCACTGGATGGGTATGGGGTGACTACCGCCCACAGGATGGGTATGGTGTGAATACCGCCCACTGGATGGGTATGGGGTGACTACCGCCCACAGGATGGGTATGGTGTGACTACCGCCCACTGGATGGGTATGGTGTGACTACCGCCCACAGGATGGGTATGGTGTGACTACTGCCCACTGGATGGGTATGGGGTGACTACCGCCCACAGGATCGGTATGGTGTGACTACCGCCCACAGGATGGGTATGGTGTGACTACCGCCCACAGGATGGGTATGGCGTGACTACCACCCACAGGATGGGTATGGTGTGACTACCGCCCACTGGATGGGTATGGGGTGACTACCAACCACAGGATGGGTATGGTGTGACTACCGCCCACAGGATGGGTATGGTGTGACTACCGCCCACAGGATGGGTATGGTGTGACTACCGCCCACAGGATGGGTATGGTGTGACTACCGCCCACAGGATGGGTATGGGGTGACTACCGCCCACAGGATGGGTATGGTGTGACTACCGCCCACAGGATGGGTATGGTGTGACTACCGCCCACTGGATGGGTATGGGGTGACTACCGCCCACAGGATCGGTATGGTGTGACTACCGCCCACAGGATGGGTATGGTGTGACTACCGCCCACAGGATGGGTATGGCGTGACTACCACCCACAGGATGGGTATGGTGTGAGTACCGCCCACTGGATGGGTATGGGGTGACTACCAACCACAGGATGGGTATGGTGTGACTACCGCCCACAGGATGGGTATGGTGTGACTACCGCCCACAGGATGGGTATGGTGTGACTACCGCCCACAGGATGGGTATGGTGTGACTACCGCCCACAGGATGGGTATGGGGTGACTACTGCCCACAGGATGGGTATGGTGTGACTACCGCCCACAGGATGGGTATGGTGTGACTACCGCCCACTGGATGGGTATGGGGTGACTACCGCCCACAGGATGGGTATGGTGTGACTACCGCCCACAGGATGGGTATGGGGTGACTACTGCCCACAGGATGGGTATGGTGTGACTACCGCCCACAGGATGGGTATGGTGTGACTACCGCCCACTGGATGGGTATGGGGTGACTACCGCCCACAGGATCGGTATGGTGTGACTACCGCCCACAGGATGGGTATGGTGTGACTACCGCCCACAGGATGGGTATGGCGTGACTACCACCCACAGGATGGGTATGGTGTGACTACCGCCCACTGGATGGGTCTGGGGTGACTACCAACCACAGGATGGGTATGGTGTGACTACCGCCCACAGGATGGGTATGGTGTGACTACCGCCCACAGGATGGGTATGGTATGACTACCACCCACAGGATGGGTATGGTGTGACTACCGCCCACAGGATGGGTATGGGGTGACTACCGCCCACAGGATGGGTATGGTGTGACTACCGCCCACAGGATGGGTATGGTGTGACTACCGCCCACTGGATGGGTATGGGGTGACTACCGCCCACAGGATCGGTATGGTGTGACTACCGCCCACAGGATGGGTATGGTGTGACTACCGCCCACAGGATGGGTATGGCGTGACTACCACCCACAGGATGGGTATGGTGTGACTACCGCCCACTGGATGGGTATGGGGTGACTACCAACCACAGGATGGGTATGGTGTGACTACCGCCCACAGGATGGGTATGGTGTGACTACCGCCCACAGGATGGGTATGGTGTGACTACCGCCCACAGGATGGGTATGGTGTGACTACCGCCTGTTGAACAGCGGTTTACTGCCGATGGAGGTAGCGTAGGTAGCAATGATATGGCCGTGGACTAGTTTGGCTTTAATTGGAAAGGAGTACACAACGGGCAATGTGAGGGAATGACCGCTAGCCAGTCCGTGGAGGGGAAGCACTTGTGGCTATCAATTCGGTCGGCCGGGGAGTGAGGGCGAATGGGCCCAGCCTCCCACTGACCTGGGTGAGCCTACAGAGGGCAGCACTTAAATGCCGCAAAATATGAACTAGCCAAAACAGACGGCTTAGGCTGTCTGTTCTGACAGTAAAGGCTGTCTACACGCCCACAGGATGGGTATGGGGTGCATAATAAACATATTAAACTAACTAAACTAAACTACACACTAAGCGTCTTTAGTCAAGTACAGTGTAAGTGAAACATTTCCGAATAAAGATACTTAAATGTTACAACCAGCTTGTGCTGTATACCATCCTCATATCAACAGTGTGGTGGCGGGTGTAGTGGTGAGTCACAAGACTGTGAGAGCTGGTACAGTGTGGTGGCGGGTGTAGTGGTGAGTCACAAGACTGTGAGAGCTGGTACAGTGTGGTGGCGGGTGTAGTGGTGAGTCACAAGACTGTGAGAGCTGGTACAGTGTGGTGGCGGGTGTAGTGGTGAGTCACAAGACTGTGAGAGCTGGTACAGTGTGGTGGCGGGTGTAGTGGTGAGTCACAAGACTGTGAGAGCTGGTACAGTGTGGTGGCGGGTGTAGTGGTGCGTCACAAGACTGTGAGAGCTGGTACAGTGTGGTGGCGGGTGTAGTGGTGCGTCACAAGACTGTGAGAGCTGGTAGTGTGGTGGCGGGTGTAGTGGTGCGTCACAAGACTGTGAGAGCTGGTACAGTGTGGTGGCGGGTGTAGTGGTGCGTCACAAGACTGTGAGAGCTGGTAGTGTGGTGGCGGGTGTAGTGGTGCGTCACAAGACTGTGAGAGCTGGTACAGTGTGGTGGCGGGTGTAGTGGTGAGTCACAAGACTGTGAGAGCTGGTACAGTGTGGTGGCGGGTGTAGTGGTGCGTCACAAGACTGTGAGAGCTGGTACAGTGTGGTGGCGGGTGTAGTGGTGCGTCACAAGACTGTGAGAGCTGGTACAGTGTGGTGGCGGGTGTAGTGGTGCGTCACAAGACTGTGAGAGCTGGTACAGTGTCAGGGAAGCTGTCACAAGTGTACACTGTTAAGTTTAAATAAGGGACATATTGGCCTTTTGAGAAATTATTACATATGTAGTTATTGTACACATACGTGAAGCTTAGCCAGGGTAGACTTGAGAAGATGTGTTTATTTGTTGTATTGTAAGTACCGTTAACAATTATTATACAGCCTTACATGGTTAATATGTCAGTGAACGAGGTTGTGGCACTGTTATGTACAGTTGTTGATCACGTCACCATCACATGTCAGTGCATCTCAGTATACATGTCAGTGCATATCACTGCACATTCACCTGACGTTAACGCCTGAAATAAGATTATTGTTGACAATGAACAATGTCTATTTGTTTGTAAAACTTACAATGTGTGCTATATATGTTATAAAATATTTATTACACAGAAGGTCACTGGTCCTGTCGGGCAGACTAATAATAATTCTTACTCTGTGTTGATGTAACTCACGGAGACGTATATTTGAACATATATTATTAGATATATACATAGATACATAATTAGATACACAGATCATTACATTTATAATAAGTAGTATAAGCATATAACAATATTACAAATGGTAAATTTAGTAATGTATTGTATTTGCATGATTCACTGTTTCTGTGTTACTGTGACATTCTAGCTATCTGTTCGTTCTTGTATTATGACGTAATGTAATATTACCATACGTTATGATCATTGTGCAATTATGATAGTTATATCAGTGACGTCACACTTGCTCCTCCTATCTCTCTCTCCCTCCCTCTCTCTCTCTCTCTCTCTCTCTCTCTCTCTCTCTCTCTCTCTCTCTCTCTCTCTCTCTCTCTCTCTCTCTCTCTCTTCTTCTCCTTCATTCGCCTGGTGTCAGTAGGAGGGAAACAATAAGTCAGGGTCAAGACGCCTTAACAACAAGTACATAATTATAATCCTGATTTTTAAAATTGTGGAGGGATGAGTGGAAGGTCTCGGTCAGATCACCGAAACTCTCCAGTGGAGGATCATGGTACAACTCAGGGGTGGTATAAGCGTGCCAGGGAAAAAAAATCGAAAAAAAATACAGAAATTGAGTTAATCGCCTAGAAAAATAGCTTAACTGATTTTAGAATCAATGTTCTAAAATGTTCGTATATTGAATTATAGTCATTTATAACATGTATGGTGACACCGCAGCTTCTAACATCCACATGCACATCCAGTGTGGAAATTTATTTGGTCCAAATAGTTCCACAGCTCAGATCCAGTATGGCCGTCAGGACGGCCGAGCCGGACGGCCCTTAAACCCTCCCAAACCAACGAAGCATTCTCTGGTTGGCGGTTGTTGGTAAGCTTATTTAATTTATAGATTTACTCTTCAGGGAAGGAGTAGGTAGTTTTACTGGTAGTACACTAATATTAGGTTTACTAAGGCATCTGTAGATAATGATAAAGTAGACCTAAGACCTTAACATAGGTAGTTATAGGCCGATAATGTAGGCAAACACTAGGATAAGTTAGCTAGGGAGAACTGGCAGCCCTAGCTTGATTGAGGAGGCGCGGGTCACAAAGACAGAATAGCGCCCTTCTTACAACAGACACCGACTGGACAAGACGTGCCGTGAACAGCAGACGGCGCCCCCACGTGTCTTCACATCTGAGACCTGGGAATCTGGTAGAGGCACCTCGATGTACCGTAGATGATCTCCTCCATCAGCCCATACAGTAAGACAAGATCTTCACTTTTTCCCGTAGGTTCTGGCCAGTGTCTTGGGAGATTGTGGGTTGAGTTAACTGTGGGCCCGGCATGCTACAGAGAGAGCATGCCCAGTAAGTACCAGTGTCTCAGAGCCGTCTGAAGCTAGTGTCTGAGTCTGCATAGTTATACTAGGGGATACATACCCTCTTGGATATAGGAATTTCTGAGGTGCAGGCAGGACACTAATTACGATTGAATATTGCAGGAATTAATGCTCCCGGTTGCACGTGGTTTCTGAGGGGAAGTCCAAAGGGGCTAAAGCTAGGCTTAGGAAGTTGAAGATCAGGATATATGCTGCAACACCAAGTAAGTTAGTCCTTTATACATGCATGCAGGCGAGGTTTCTTGCAATACCAATCATTTGTGAAAATCTGTTCCATAAGCCACTTGTGAGGCTGAGGTACCCACCTCAGAGCTCGGTGTCAACAGAGTTTGCCAGGGTAGGCGACTCACTTGGAGGCAGTCCACACAAATTTTCACATCCAGTAAATTTTTAGATTTTTTCCCTTTTTTTGTTTTGCTATGTCTTGTATTATTCTTTGTAATATAATTGAGGATTTGTGATGATAAGAGAGTAGGTGGTGCTACTACATAGTCTGAGAGTTAATTAGGAACAGTCTGGGAACATTTGCTTACGTCAGTGGAATTCCTGAGTCTCGAGGGGAGTTTACTTAGTAATATATTTATTATGCACACCATACCCATCCTGTGTGGGGCGCAGGAAGGAGTTCTTAGTCCCATGCTATTTAATATTCTGATTAATGCTCTCCTAAATGCTCTACCTGCCTCACCTAAACATATAGCTATAAGCTATGCTGATGATATCATGATCCATACAACAGGGCATAAGAAGATGAATACCATTCTTAATGAAGTTCAAGCAATTTGTAATCGACTAGGCCTCATAATATCTTCCTCTAAAACAAAGATATTAACAAGCAAACGACATCCCCCACCCATCTATTTGCAGGGTGAAATCATTAGCTACGTTAAAACTTACAGATATCTTGGTGTAGATGTACCCTTTAACAAATCCACTATACCACAACTAAACAAGAAATGTAAAGCTAGGCTAAATGCTCTCAAAGCTGTTGCTGGCTACAATCCCAACTATGGTGCTAATGTGAGAATCGTGAGAATGATGTACATAGCCTATGTTAGGTCCTTAATTGATTATGCTGCTCCCATGTTGATATTAGCTAGAGAAAGTTCCCTCCGACCCTTGGAGTTAATGCAAAATGAAGCTCTCAGGACTATTCTTGGCTGTCCTAGATCTACAAAAGTTCTTAACATGAGGAAGGAGCTTGGTATTTCTAGTATCAGTGATAGGATTGTTGAAATTAACACTGTACTCGGTATTAGAATGTTGAGAAACGAACCAGACACTGTCACAGTGAATCTTACCAAGTGTCTAGAGGTAAATACACACAGATCTAAATGGATTGTGAAAACGTGCAATTGCATTAAGTTTTATAACCTGCATGAACTGTATCACTGTAGGCAACAAGAGCATTTCACCCCTCCATGGAAGATGTGTTCATTTAATATCACATACCTACAAGTCCCTCCCAAGAAGCTCATTGCTAGTAATCCCTTCCTTAAATCTCTTGTTAGAGCAACTGCTCAAGAAGAAATTTTTCGCCTAGCTGGTAGTAATAAGTTATCACAAGTTATATACACTGATGGATCTAAACAGGAGTCTTCTGGCAGGGCTGCATCTGCTCTTGTTGCCACCTCCCTAGTTAAGAACGATAATAAATTTGTTGAGTTAGGCATAAGAATTAACAACTGGGCGTCTACACTGCAAACTGAATTGTTTGCAATCCTAATGGCGCTAAAGCTAACCTATGACACTGAGCTTGACTCTATCATCATTACTGATTCTATGTCATCATTGAAGGCTCTTGGCTCATATAATGACTCCAACAACATGCTCATTGGGGAAGCCAGGTATAGATACTCAAAAATTAGGGACAAAGGAATTAATGTACAATTGCTATGGATCCCATCACACATTGGATTACTCCTTCATGATAAAGTTGATATGTTAGCCAAGAAGAGTATCCAGAAGGAGAACGTAGAATATAACTTTGGTATAACTGTGTCTAGCATTAGGAATAATATTAGGAGAGAAGTAAATAATGAAGATGATTGTTATAGGAATGCAGTTAGAAGCCTGAGTAGATCTATAACCCACTATGATAACATGAACGTAGATAAGTATGTTTATGGAGCAACTTGCAATGTGAACAGACTGACTGATGTTGTAGTGGCCAGGCTTAGGCTTGGTTACAAGTACTTCTGGCAGTTTGGGAGACACACAGATGATGATCAAACTAAATGTAAATTATGTGATCAGGCATATGGTCACTCTCTTGAACACTATGTGCTTAATTGTCCACTTATTGAGGAATACAGAGACAGACAGTATAATAACCTATGTGACATGTCAAGATATCTTATTAATGAAAATAAGATACCAGATATACTAAGCAAATTTCCTAAATTTGCTTGTAACAGATAAGTGAACTATAGATATGTAGATATAAATCCATATGTATTCCTGTTAACCCTTTGGGGCCTAGTTCCTAGGCATTTTGTGTATCCACATGCTCTCGCGCTACCGTCCACAGGATGGATATGGGGTGCACAATAAACTAGCCACTTCGGTGGCAAAATCTAAATCTAATCTAATCTATCCTGTGGGTGGTAGTTACCCCATACCCATCCTGTGGGTGGTAGTCACACCATACCCATCCTGTGGGTGGTAGTCACACCATACCCATCCTGTGGGTGGTAGTCACACCATACCCATCCTGTGAGTGGTAGTTACCCCATACCCATCCTGTGGGTGGTAGTCACACCATACCCATCCTGTGGGTGGTAGTTACCCCATACCCATCCTGTGGGTGGTAGTCACACCATACCCATCCTGTGAGTGGTAGTTACCCCATACCCATCCTGTGGGTGGTAGTCACACCATACCCATCCTGTGGGTGGTAGTCACACCATATCCATCCTGTGGGTGGTAGTCACCCCATACCCATCCTGTGCGTGGCAGTCACACCACACCCATCCTGTGGGCTGTAGCCACACCATACCCATCATGTGGGTGGTAGTCACCTCATACCCATCCTGTGGGTGATAGTCACCCCATACCCATCCTGTGGGCGGTAGTCACACCATACCCATCCTGTGGGTGGTAGTCACACCATACCCATCCTGTGGGTGGTAGTCACCCCACACCCATCCTGTGGGTGGTAGTCACACCATACCCATCCTGTGGGTGCTAGTCACACCATACCCATCCTGTGGGTGGTAGTCACCCTATATCCATCCTGTGGGTGGTAGTCACCCCGTAGCCATCCTGTGGGTGGTAGTCACACCATACCCATCCTGTGGGTGGTAGTCACACCATACCCATCCTGTGGGTGGTAGTCACACCATACCCATCCTGTGGGTGGTAGTCACACCATACCCATCCTGTGGGTGGTAGTCACACCATACCCATCCTGTGGGTGGTAGTCACCCCATACCCATCCTGTGGGTGTTAGTCACACCATACCCATCCTGTGGGTGGTAATCACCCCATACCCATTCTGTGGGTGGTAGTCACCCCATACCCATCCTGTGGGTGGTAGTCACCTCATACCCATCCTGTGGGTGATAGTCACCCCATACCCATCCTGTGGGCGGTAGTCACACCATACCCATCCTGTGGGTAGTAGTCACACCATATCCATCCTGTGGGTGGTAGTCACCCCATACCCATCCTGTGGGTGGTAGTCACCCCATACCCATCCTGTGTGTGGTAGTCACACCATACCCATCCTGTGGGTGGTAGTCACCCCATACCCATCCTGTGGGTGGTAGTCATCCCATACCCATCCAGTGGGTGGTAGTCACACCATACCCATCCCGTGGGTGGTAGTCAAACCATACCCATCCTGTGGGTGGTAGTCACACCATATCCATCCTGTGGGTGGTAGTCACCCCATACCCATCCTGTGGGTGGTAGTCACCCCATACCCATCCTGTGTGTGGTAGTCACACCATACCCATCCTGTGGGTGGTAGTCACCCCATACCCATCCTGTGGGTGGTAGTCATCCCATACCCATCCAGTGGGTGGTAGTCACACCATACCCATCCCGTGGGTGGTAGTCAAACCATACCCATCCTGTGGGTGGTAGTCACACCATACCCATCCTGTGGGTGGTAGTCACCCCATACCCATCCTGTGGGTGGTAGTCATCCCATACCCATCCAGTGGGTGGTAGTCACACCATACCCATCCCGTGGGTGGTAGTCAAACCATACCCATCCTGTGGGTGGTAGTCACACCATATCCATCCTGTGGGTGGTAGTCACCCCATACCCATCCTGTGGGTGGTAGTCACCCCATACCCATCCTGTGTGTGGTAGTCACACCATACCCATCCTGTGGGTGGTAGTCACCCCATACCCATCCTGTGGGTGGTAGTCATCCCATACCCATCCAGTGGGTGGTAGTCACACCATACCCATCCCGTGGGTGGTAGTCAAACCATACCCATCCTGTGGGTGGTAGTCACACCATACCCATCCTGTGGGTGGTAGTCACCCTATACCCATCCTGTGGGTGGTAGTCACCCCATACCCATCCTGTGGGCGGTAGTCACACCATACCCATCCTGTGGGTGGTAGTCACCCCATATCCGTCCTGTGGGTGGTAGTCACACCATACCCATCCTGTGGGTGGTAGTCACTCCATACCCATCCTGTGGGTGGTAGTCACCCCATACCCATCCTGTGGGTGGTAGTCACCCCATACCCATCCTGTGGGTGGTAGTCACCCCATACCCATCCTATGGGTGGTAGTCACACCATACCCATCCCGTGGGTGGTAGTCACCCCATACACATCCTGTGGGCGGTAGTCACACCATACCCATCCTGTGGGTGGTAGTCATCCCATACCCATCCAGTGGGTGGTAGTCACACCATACCCATCCCGTGGGTGGTAGTCAAACCATACCCATCCTGTGGGTGGTAGTCACACCATATCCATCCTGTGGGTGGTAGTCACCCCATACCCATCCTGTGGGTGGTAGTCACCCCATACCCATCCTGTGTGTGGTAGTCACACCATACCCATCCTGTGGGTGGTAGTCACCCCATACCCATCCAGTGGGTGGTAGTCACACCATACCCATCCCGTGGGTGGTAGTCAAACCATACCCATCCTGTGGGTGGTAGTCACACCATACCCATCCTGTGGGTGGTAGTCACCCTATACCCATCCTGTGGGTGGTAGTCACCCCATACC